AAGCAGGAAACCCCTCCTTTTGCTCCTTAAAAACACCCTTGTCATTAACTTCAACAGCTTCCTTAGGTAGTTGAAATGAATCTTGAGAAGTCAAATCCATATTACAAGAGAAAATGTTTTTATATATGGGGTAGGGAAGAAGAGAGAAAGGGAGAAACCCTTCCTCTTTTCTGCCACGCGAATCGAAGAGAACGAAATGGGAATAATGGATTGGATTTTTATTGATTTTTGCGTGTATGTTTTTTGGATTTTTCGAGAATGGTTGAAAAGTCCAGAATGGAAAATTAGGACCTTTTCCTAGTTTGTCTCTTCATAAATACCGATTGTTGATTTTTTTACTGTATTTATAATATAATTTATATAAGCAATTATATTATAATTTAAATATCCTAAGCCCTTGGACGCACTACTTTCGCCAAAAATCAATTTTTGGATCAATCAAATAATTCCATATTGTTTAATATAATTTTAAATTATTCAATTTAAAGTTGAACCTTGCAATAAAAAACAGGCGCCCCTATGGGTACACTTATGCACCCATAGCATTTTCCATTGAATGAAAGTGAAGAAGGAAAATGAATAAATTAAGGGTACGTTTGCGTGATTTTTACTTTTACTTTTATTTTTGCTTTCTATAGAAGAATTTTTGGAGAAAGTTATCTTAATTTTTGTTTTGAAACTAATTTTTAAAAGCACTTCCTATTCCAAAAACGTTTTAGAGGAAGTTACAATGGACCATTTTACTTTAAAAGCTCTTCCAACTACTAAAGTATTTTCATAAAATTAATCAAACGGGTTCAAAAACAGTTTTGGGCCTCAAAAACTCCTTTTAACTTTTGAAAAGTCATAACAAACGGGTTCTAAGTAAATAATAATCTTCAAAGAAGGTAGTGAAAAAGTAGACGATGCATGTTTGCAATTTTATATGGGTACCGTTATTTATATTCACAGTTTTTATATATTCATCGCACTATATATCCATCTCTATTAAAATTTTAAAAAATTACTATTTTTATCCACATTAAATTTCAATATTGTTCTTATTAAATTCATTCATTTAAATATTATAAATCCATACAAATTTTATATATTCCTCCCACTCCAAATATATTCTCAATATAATTTTAAAAAATTACTATATTCATCAAGCCACTATCAATAGGAGTGAACACGGTTCGATTTGGGAGGTTTGTGTTATATTTTCAACTCAAACCATTTCAAGCGGTTTGAATTTTTTTCAAACCAAACCAAACTATTATTTGCGGTTTGGTTCGATTTTAATCCGCAGTTTACCGATCGACATTATAGTTATATGTTTAA